GAGAGAGGGAGGTAGAAATAAAAAAAAACTGGCCCTTTTAGGGGACAACCAGTCTGTTTTTTAAGAGAACTTTGCAAAATTGGATCCTACATATAATACTACTGTCAGATATCTGCATCGTTATCTAGACTTTCAGACAGATTACTTTACAGAACTTGCTTCAGAGGAATTATAGTATTATCAGTTAAATAAAATGTAAGTTCCATTAATTTCGTTTAGCCCTTACAAAATTTTTCATTTGTAATTATCACAGGGAATACGTCCAAAAAATAACTTTTAAGGAATAGCCAAAAGGTTAAATTAAGGAAGTAATTATTATTAACTGTAACTTGCAAATTATAATATTTTATTCCAGGATAGTTCAGTATTTACTTTTTTAATTTTTATTGCGTTTCTTATTGGAAACTCCTTGAATTTTGAAAGCGTACAGACTTGGAATCAATGCAGTTTGGAGGAAGTTTATACATTCCTTCAGCCTCTTTGATTATATAAAAATTCAGTCACCTTTTTATTCATCTGTGTACATGATTGTTTCTCAAGATATTTCAGAATATTCTTCAAGAAACAATGGTGCAGACTTACAAAGGACACACAAACACAGCAAGAGAATTGGTTAACAGGATGCCTTTATATCTTATTAGTACACATATTGTAACATTTTCTTCTGCATGATGTAGTGTAAAATATAATAGTTTTTAATATTTGCATGAAAGGTTGCCTGATTACTGCACTATATTACTGCAATGAAATTCCATTCATTGTCAGAAAACTGATTAAGAGAATAATTATATTAAAATGCTTTTACTGAAGAGATCTTAAAGCCTGGGTTTACTGTCAGCTTATCGTTGGTCTGGTTTTTGAAGATTCTTGTTACATGAAACATTTTATTGCATAGAATGTTAATTTTTAAATAGTTTAATATATGATATTTGATGCCAACATTTTATTTCAGAGTAAAGTAAATAATTTGATATTAATTTTCAGTAAACGGTATCAAATACTGGTCTTTTACATCCAGATATGTCAGACACAAATATTAGTAATTTTTGTACCATCGCTCATAAAACTTTGTCATGGAAAGAATTAATGAAGTTTGTTGATTTTGAGCAATGCAGTTTGAAATGTTCTGTATTCAGAAATGTGTCATTACAAAATTAGGTTAGTTTATCAAAAAATATTGATTTGGTTAAATTTATTTCAAGATATGGATTTATCAAAGAAATTAATTGTTTGTAACGTTATTGAAATAATTAAGTTTTTATAACAGTTTGTGTATAGTACGTACCAGATCTCATTTTGTTACCTGGTAACATGTTTTGCAAGTATGACAGTTCAAAATTTCTGAATTTCCTTGCAAATAATTCATTTTTATTTTGTACATAATGAAGATATTTTTGTAATTTAAACTGTTTTCATTTGGCAATCTTCACTTTGACACCTCTGTTATTCGCTGCATTGTATTATTGGTAACTTAGAGAAAGAATCTTCAAAAACCAACAGTTCAAACTGAATCACTGCAGAGTTTCCTGATTATAATTTGCTAAACCAATAACAAAACTGAAATACATGTAATAATTTGTAATAACCAATAAAATTAAATTATTTCTCTGCTGTTCAGTTGATGTACAAATATGAAGTTTTATCCATAGAAGCCATGTATTCAGATCTTGAAAGAAATAAATCATATATTTTTGCAGCAGTATATATTGAGTATGCTGACAGATAATTTTCAGTTTAAATAATTACTTAGATTATTATATTGATTATGAAGTACAATACCAGGAAGATTTGCAGTGAATAGTTACTTAAATTCAATGATATGTTCTTCCTCTGTTCGTCTGCAACCAAACATTCCATGATTCCAACCTCCTTTACCTACGCTATATGGATATGTCTGTTGTCTCTCTTTAGCCGAGTGTCAGTCATGAGAGGACAGGTGGTGACCCCACAGGGGCTTGGTATTGTTGGCATCCGTGTCAGTGTGGATAGAGATTCCAGGTTTGGCTTCACACTTACTCGAGCAGGGGGATGGTAAGTTCACTGTTTTTGTATTTTTATGATAGGAAGTATGAGCTGGGGTATCTAAGTCAGTATAGTGACTAGCTACGGGCTGGACGACCGGGGTTTGATCCCTGACGGGGGCGGAGGATTTTTCCTCTAGCCTCTGCGTCCAGACCGGCTCTGGGGCCCACCCAGCCTCCTCTACAATGGGCACCGGGGTCCTTTCCCGGGCATAAAGCCCGCCGGGGCGTGATGCTGACCACTCACCCCCATCTAGTGCAGAGGTCAAGAAAGAGAGGAGCTATACCTCCACTCCCCCCAAGCGCCTACATGGCGTATAGTGGGACAAACTTTTATGATAGGGAGTAGTGCTTAAAGTAGATCGATCTGTGATAGGATATAATCCTGCTTTATTTTAAAACTTGCATATATTATTTAGTTACTGTGTTAAACAATCTTAATATTTGTTTATTTTCTCTTTAGTGCCATTACATGTGCCATGCTAAAACATAAAATAAGATTTAAATAAAATTTGAGACAGAAACGTACAATATTCTGAACATTCTCTTTGTATATATGGTCCTATGTGCTAATTCACTATCATGGATGACATAGCAGCAAGCTTTTTTATAAGGAGCGAAAGTAGTTCAACATTCTGAATATCATGAACTTGATATCTGTGTTTTATTTCAAATTACATATAAAATAAATTCCTTATTGTCTCTATTTTTGTGATTTGAATACTTTACGAAACAGACATTTTACAGTTTAGAAGTTTCATGAATCATAATTCTCGTATCTTCCTCACACTTAAAACATTGATTTTGTCTTCTATACTGCAATGTCATGAAATTGAGATGTAATAGCAAACTTAAATTTAAACATTTCTTTCAATAATTATTAGTATTTATAAATACCTTCAGATGTGGTACGTACATGCTTATAATACATGATTTAATGTGTTCAGGTTTGATGTTTTGGTGAATGGAGGTGGTGCTGTGACCTTGCAGTTCCAGCGCAGTCCTTTTCGACCCTTGACCCGCACAGTGTTTGTCCCGTGGAACCAAATTGTCGTGCTTCCACCAGTGGCTATGCAGCTTAGTGATGATACCGACGTCTACCGTGACAACGGAGGGAACAGCCTCTCTTATGGTAATGCTGCATATCAGAATATTCATAATGAATACTGCATGATTTTATTATTGCATCCTAAACTTTTAACAGCAAAAGATATTCCAAAATTATGCCATATCCAAAAATATGCCTTTGTGTCTATAATTTTTTTAGAAAATAAGCAACCTTAGTGAAATGTTTCCTCTTTTCATTTACGTGATGAGATCATTGGTATAATTTGCACATTAGAAGTATAATGTTCTGAGGTCAGAAGTTGATCATCTTCCCCACGAATTCGTACGAAGGCGGAAGGCTTTGTTTGGAATCTTCCGGAGTTCGGCCGTCGCATTCGATTTGATGTCCTCCATGGTTGCGAAACGCGTCCCCTTGAGTCCCATTTTCAGAGTAGGGAACAGCCAGAAGTCACTCGGAGCGAGATCCAGAGAGTATGGTGGTTGGGTGATGACAGGAATGCTTTTCTCGGCGAGGAATTGCTGCATAACCAGCGAGGTGTAGAACGCGACGGCCGAATTCCGGAAGATTCCAAATGAAGCCTTCCGCCGGTGCTTCCATGAATGGCAGGATCGATGGAGCAAGTGTGTGTGTGCGCAAGGGTCCTACTTTGAAGGTGATTAGGTAAGCGTTGCCATATGTCCTACCATTACAGTGCTATACCACAATTACGGGAACTTTTTGACTGCCCCTCGTATAATTGTATTCTGAGTGACAGCAGTCACATTAAAGCAAGAATGAGATAATTGAGACGCTCTTAATGATGGTGGCAGTATACGGCAGGCAAGAGAGTGAGTATGGCTAACTGATGTCGGCATGAGACGGTCGGTCACACCCTGCTTTATTAGGCACAGTTAAGAGACTGAACTTCATTTATGCATTTCACACTCAACACGTCCGCCATTATGTGATGGTCAAACGCACCGAATAAACTCTGGAAAAACTGAGTTTATCAGAAACGTTTGTTGTTAGGCGGTAAACACAGGGTGTTCCGCAGTCAGTCCGCTATACATCGTTGAGTAATATTGGAGGGAATTTAAATTAAAAATGTGTATATACAAGTTATTGATATTTTTTTTTAAATGTGCAAACTTCATATAGTATGAAAATGTTAAGACTTGTACAGACAACATAAGAACACGTTAGGTTATTTTATCCATATCAGAAAGGTTAAGGACTTGATACATTTTTGTTTTATGAGGATTTGAAGTACATAATATGTATATTGTTCCAACTTAGTTTTAATCTTTCTTTAAAATTCTGTTGTGGTTATGTTTGGCGTCGAATATCTCGTTGCAGATAACTAGGAGCATACGCTGGTATGCAAGGGGCTACAGTAACACCACAGAAATCTTTTTTGTTCTTTTTTCATATGCATGTTTCTCTTAATAAATATATTTTGTGTTCTGTACTTTAAACAGTTTATTCAAGAAGTACAAACCAGTGGCAGCTTCCAAGATTCACCAGAGGTGAGGCTAGAATCAATAGATATTTGAAGCACTGATTGTTAAATAAGCGTTTGTACAGAATTAGCTGTACGTATATGGTTGCTTGTAATGTATTTATTTATTTATTTATTTATATATTCATCTCTTTATTTACATTTAACCATTGCCCCAGAATAATTCTGAAGCCTGTTGAGTCGCCTATTTTATGGGTGTTTCAGCGTCTTTGTCTCAGAGTAAAGTCAGTCAGAGCTTGTACCTGAACTTTCTGTTCCATCCAGCCGAATGTGGAGATGTTTAGTTGTAGGGGTAGTTTTGCGTTTATTTATTATTCTTCCGAGGTTTGCGGAGTAAGCAGTATTGCTCGTTTCTGCTTCATTGATCAGTCATCCATGATGCTCCAGCCTTTTGGTCTGTATTTCATTGTATCTTTTGATATACAATTGTGTCTTAGATTTTATACAGCTCTTTAATGATCATTACAGTTTTGCGATTAGAAACCTTACTTCTTATTCAGAAGATCTCATATTGTGATGTAACTAAAATACAGACGTCTATGCTTTATCCTACTTATTCTGGATTAATATTTTGTCGTCTGCTAATATTTGTATTTATTTTCGTACAATTTTGTGTGTGTGTGCGTGTGTGTGTACAACAGCGTTACATATTGGTGATACATTTTATAATTTATGTTTCGTACAGTGGGTGATTAACTGCACATTTGTGTAATTCGTCTGTTAGTTAAAATTTGTTCTTTTCTCATTGTTCCAGTGGATATGTTGATAGACTTTAAGATTCACAAGTTTGTTATCATTGTGGATATAAGTTATGTTGTATTTTATCACATTTATTTGCATTTTTTTCATACCTTTAATTCATACTTCATTGCTTATCGAGCAATGATTATATTTTTATGTCAGTGGCGTATCCTCTGAAGTAAGCAGGATTTGCACTACAGTAAGGTCAATGTTGATAGATATAGATTGTTATTATTTCTCTCACAAGTTGCAGAAGCTCTGCTTTTCTTTAAAGTATTAATCACTTTAATGCCATGCTTTGTTAGCCATTCTGTCAATGTTGTTTCTGTAACAGCTGACGTGGGTGCCTTGTCTGTACATTTACAGGTTGAAAATCGTGTTACCCACCTTTAATTGAATTGAATTTTTTTTTTTTTTTTTTTTTTTTTTTTTTTTTTTTTTAGTTTTGCAGGCATGGGGAAGTATGCCTGTTTTTCCAAGCAGTCTTTTAACATCTGGTGAGCATGGACCGTGCATGGATCATGATCATGAGATGCTGCATCCTGTGGTCATGTCAACATGGATGCCAGATAAAGTAGGCGGAATGCCTGGGAAGAGCCTTGTTTTTGCCGAGACTCAGGTTAGTTCATAACAAAATTGGAAGGGTATATTATTTGGAGTACACTAAGATTCCAGAGGTACTGTTTACATCTTTACAGTTGCATCCAAGGTTGTTGCAACAGTGTGCCCAGCGGTTATTGTAATAGCGTGATGAAGGATGTGACAGACAGACATGAATACGCTAGGCATTCTTTATCTAGGCTAAAATGTAAAGAACATCTTAAAACTAGAAAAGTTTATCTTTCTCTCTGTAGCATCAGCTTTCCTTCTGTCATGCCGAGAGAAATTTTAGACAAGCCGAGAAACACTGATCTGCATATCGTTATACGCGAAACCAAGTTAAATTGTTGTTTTCTTATTTTACAGATTCTACAAGAAAGTATACGGATACCAGGATCTGCTTTACATCTTATGTATCAAAGCAGTCAAGCACCAGGTTACTTGTCAAGTGTTCTCATGAGACTGACTCACGCTACAATCCCACCCACGCTGACGCATGTTCACGTTCGTGTTGAAATTGAGGGTTCGGTCCACACCAAAACATACGAGGCTGATCCACACCTCATGCACAAATTTGCTTGGAACAAACGCAATGTTTACAAACAGAAGGCAAGTTTATTTAATTTCGTTCAAAATAATATGGAACCCAAAGGTTTATTGCTGCATTTACAAGAGCCTGGCGCTGGACCCCATTATCCCGAGTCAGATGAATCTGTCAACATCCTTGAATCCCACTTCATTAAGATCCAATATAAACTGTGCTGTTTTTTTTTTAATTTGGAAAATATAATTTATGTGAATAAAAGCAAAACTGTTCCCATATCTAATTCTTTGCCCTTGTTATGATAAGTATAGTTCATTATATGTCAAAACACGAGAGCGATGTTTCCTCATAAAGGATGACTGATTTCTGTGCTGTTGTGTCATCAAGGCTATGATGGAGGCACCAAGCACCTCTGAAATGTTGGTAAGCTATGCGACTGCATGGCCCGACATCGTAAATGACAGTGTAAGAACCTGAAATCTCTAGCATCCTCATAGTTTTTAATATTCAAGTGTCTTCACGAAGTATTAATAATTAATAATCAGAATGAAGAACAAACTTTACAGGTGTATGGAGTGGCGCAAGCTCGTATTTCAGTCGGTTACCAGTACTCAAGTTGCTCTGCAGTTGTGTGGGAGACTCAGACCGCAACGTTACAGGGCTTCGATGTGGACATATCAGACGTGGGCGGATGGAGTCTAGATATTCACCACCATTACAATTTCCATGAAGGTAACTTATAATAATCAAACTTATCTCTCCCATTTCCTTATACTAAATTAAATGAATGATTATCAGTTTATCACATCTTTCATTTGATTGTAAAGGAAAGTTTTATATTAATGACTGTTGGTAACCCTGTAGAGTGGCTATTATTATGGCTCCATATGTTTGTATGCATTTAACAACTCAAGAATAGCTGAACAAATTCTTATAAAATTTAATAATTTTGAGTTATTCGTATGATTCATAGCTTTCTTATTATATTACAGGAATCCTACAAAAGGGTGATGGGTCCACATTGCACTTCAAGCAGTATCCACGTACGGTAAAGGTTGTCATGGGAACCGGTCTGCAGCGCCAATTACTCTGTACGACAGAGTGCAACGGAGCTGCGAAAGACAGTCGATTGTTGACTCCGGTAGCACTTACAAGTGGACCTGATGGTAGCCTGTATGTTGGAGATTTTAACCTTGTTCGGCGTATAACACCAGAGGGAAATGTATACACGGTCTTACAACTCAGGTAAATTTCAGTTTTTTTTTTAAAAATATGTTGATATCGTATATTTTGAGCGCTGTAGTCTTTTAATTTTTGACTTATTTGGATTGTAATATTTTTTGATTTACTCTTTAATAAGATGTGCTTGTTGAATGTACCTTTTTCATTCAGAAGAACTAATCGCTGAATAAACAGTACTTATTTTGATGTTTGTTGTTTCTTGCAGTGCAACCCAGGTCTCGTATCAGTATTACTTGAGTGTGTCACCTGCAGATGGTCATCTTTATATTTCCAACTCTGAGAAACACCAGGTGCTGAGGGCGTTATCTCTGGAGCCAGTCGCTGAGCCAGACATCAACAGTGAGCCTGTAGTAGGATCTGGAGAGCGGTGCATACCGGGAGATGAGACCCACTGCGGAGATGAGGGACCTGCCAGGGACGCAAAACTTGCACATCCTAAAGGTGAGTACAAAGTAGTTGTTCCTATATTTAAGTACAAGTGGCTCTCATTTTCTTGCTTTTGATATCTGCAGTTTCACATGTCTGCAATTTTTATTTCATTAGGACCTTCGGTATCTTATCCACGGACATGATAATATTTTCTGCGAAGCCCCACCGAGTTATTTGTGCAGTGTCTCTGGCTCACCTCACCATTTTGACTCCTGCGACAACAAATTAAGGCCTCTGATAGTGCATCACTAAGAAAATCAACAGATATTTTATAAGTTTTCTGTTGTTTGCATTTTTTATACAGAATGGTTTACAGGAAAGCAAACCCCATGTATAATGACAGTAAATCATTTATTGTATTCATGTACAGTTAACTATATAGATCTGTAATAATAATTATACTGTTATTTTTTATTTTTAAAATTGGCATAAGGTCTTAAGCGGCCCATCCACGTGCGAGTGTGGCTCGGCGAGCTTTACACGTGAGCCGGGCTCTGATATATTTCACCACACATGCATAGCAGACTCGGCTCATGACACCCCACCCACAGACGAGTTTGGCTCGATGGATCCCGAGCCGAGCCAGACTCGTACGTGGATGGGCCGCTTCACAGACTGCTAGAATTATACTAACATTGTTTTGGTCACATGCAGAACCAGAGTTTAGGAACTTTGTTTGTATTGGCCTCAAAAAGAGAACATTCAAATGTAGCTCTGTATTTAATGTAAAGTTTTTCTGATCCGCTACCGTGCCTTCCACTTCTAGGTCTGGCAATTGCTGCTGACAAGACAATGTACATAGCAGATGGCACTAACATTAGAGCAGTGGATCCAAAGGGTATAATTCATACATTGGTTGGTCACCTTGGACATCACAACCTTTGGACACCTGTCCCTTGCCATGGAGCAATTCCAGCCCAGCAGGTAATGCCTTTCAGTCCGCACTGACATTTTCTCAGATGAAGATGACTTCTTGAAGGTTGTTTCACCACTTAACTGGTAGAAGTTCACAGGTGATTCAGAGATATTTGGAGGTAGAAAGCTTCTTTTAAATGTCAGTCGGTATCTGCCAGACTACATGGTGCATTATCCCAAAAGACAGCCATCTTCATACCCATTTCCATAAGAACCCAAAATCATACAAAAGAAACACTTATTTTATGTATGTGCAAGAATTTTTTAATTATATACAATTTAATCGAAAGTGGCGTTGTTTAAAGTAAGTGCTGTGGTGATTTATATTGCAGGCACAGTTACAGTGGCCCACAGGCCTGTCTCTGAGCCCACTGGATGGTAGTCTGCACTTCATCGATGACCGACTGGTGCTGAAGTTAACAGATGATCTCAAGGTGAAAGTGGTAGCAGGTACACCGCTGCATTGCCATGTTATCACAGGGAACAGTAACGGTGACCGCAGTCAGCACTCAAAGCAGCGTTCTGATGGCAACAACAGTGACAACATTTCTGTTTCTGATACATCGACAGTTAAGGTACGTGCAGTTTCCTGTAGTAGCCATCACCAAATTGCGTGCTTCAAGGTCACAGAAGGTCTTCATTCCAATCATATCAAGGGGCTCTGGCCATGTTACAAGATCGAAGCTGTCTTTATTTGCTTGGGCTTTGCCGTTTGCTGACGTTGCTTGAATCGCCTGGAGATGTCACTCAAGTGCAATCATATTCTCAAAGATGATTAATGAAGCTTTGCTGTATTGATTTATGTATTTATATGCGTCATGCCGGTCACCATGGGAACCTTAAATTTAACCTATATTGCTTTGTTTGTTTATAGAACAGGGTGGCATATGTTAACTTGATGTAAAATTATTCTTATGTGATCTTGCATTATATTTTTCTCATCACAGTCCCTCGTTCTTCCTTCATTACAGTCGGATGGTGAGGGCGATGAAGGCTTGAAAGCAACGGCAACAGTTCTGGGTTCCGTTCTCGCACTTGCGTTTAGCCCAACAGGTGACCTGTTCATTGCAGAAAGCGACTCGAGGAAGGTGAATGCTATTCGAGTTGTAGATTCAGCGGGCACAATATCAGATTTCGCTGGGCGACCACGTGATAAACCAAACAGGTAAGAAATGAAATGTAGTCTCTTTTAAATTACCATTAAAAATTAACTTTTAAAGGTAATTTTTTTTTTCAATTAGTACACTGGCAGATGTATTAATTTCCATGGACAGTTTTTTTTTATCCAAACCTTTCCACATAATTTAGCCTATATTTTCAACATTTATTTTCATATTATATGATGCACAAGCTTTGTATACTAAATTTACCACTGCAGAGAAGTAAATTGGGTAGAAGATTCTGTCTAATGTGTATTTGAATTTGTATCACCTCGGTTTATTCCATAAATTTAAAGGAAACGTGTGAATAGAAATTCAACACTGTTATTATAGTTAATGGATTAATGTCCGCAGGAAACATAGGATATAGTTGTTATTAATTACAGCAGAATTAAGAGTTACCTTTTCCTGTTACACATTAATTTGTTGCTGATTTCCTGCAGGTAGTGTGTAAAGTAGCCCACATGACTCTTATATTAGTTGTAAATCCAGAGTCCCCCCCGTGCTGTTGAAAGTTGTAAATCATATCAGAAATGTCATATATCTGTTACAGGCCCACAAGCTGCGATTGTAGTGGTAATGTCACGGGATCATCAACAGCAGCTGGAGGTTCCTGTCTTTGTGGTACTCTTGGAAGTTCTTTCTCAACCCCTGAGGATGTTACAGCATCGGATCACAACTCTGCTTCTTCCAAGGAGACGATGTTATCATCGAATGCCCAGTTTACGTCTATTTCGTCCCTTACTGTATCTCCTGATGGTGTTCTGAATGTGGCTGACCAGGGCAGTCTACATATTCTTGCCCTGGAACATTATCTGCCGATACATGATGAAAATGGGGAGTTCAGGTACGTGCCTTTATAGACTTACTGATGTAATGTCGGCTGAAAGTCCGAGAAGACACGCTTAGGCTGGGGCCACACGACCGTACAAAGTACATCCGTTGTAATGCACATCGTGACGTCCGTCATAGAATTATGAAGGGGCAAGACCACAGAACGCAACGGCTTCTTCCGACTCCATTGGGGCAACTGACGCATCACACTGCGCTCGTGTGGTGTCCTCAACTACGTCCGTTGCAACTGACGTACTTTGTACGGTCGTGTGGCCAGGGTCTTAAATGTGGACCAACATGAATGTCTTTTAATTAATTATTTACTTAAAATTAAGTGCTGAATTAATTCCGATGGCAAATATTTGTATTATTATGTACCGTACAGTTTGACACAGTGTTACGTAAATATATGCGAGCCACGCAAAGCCATAGGTTGAGAATCGCTGTTCTAGATTATATTATAAACATTAGATTTTTTAAAATTATGGTTAAGAACTGAATATAACAGCATATGAAGGAAGTGCTTTGGTGCCTACTTACACCAATCAGTAGCACAAATGGTTTAGTGGTCTTGTTGTTGATGGGACTCTACTACTTTGGTCTGTGGACCATGAGCAGAGCGAAAAATGAAAATAGTTGGTATTAACTGCAGTTTTCTTTACTAAAGAAAGATGTTTCCTTATTAAAATAACCTTATCCCATTTGACAGTGTACTAAATGATGAACAGAGACAAACAGCGAATATAGACGAACTTGATTTTTCTTTTATTATTATTAGATACTTAAACATGCTTTGAGTTTTACCGTGTTTCGATATTTGTGTTTACAGAATTCCGTATCCACCAACTCAAGAAGTTTATGTGTTCAATCGATATGGTCAACACATTGCAACCCGGGATCTGACATCGGGTAAAACGCGTTACTCATTCCTTTACAGCAAGAACACGAGTTTTGGAAAGTTGTCAACTGTTACAGACAGCTCAGGGAACAAAGTTCTGTTCCTCAGGGATTATAGCAATGTTGTAAGTATTTAGAAACTGTGAAAACCTTGTACAGAAATTTTTTTAGAACACTAGCCTAAAACTGCTTCATCGAGAAAACTTCAGTTTCATAAAAACAGGGGGCTCTCCAACTTAATTTTTCCATTAATAATATCTGCATAATAGTATGGTAGCATGTTTCTTAAAATGTAGAATACTTTTTTTTCTCAGAATGTCTAATATATATAATTTAATCAAGTTGTATTGTTTTGTGTTTAAAAGGTAAAGAGTTATTTTGAAATTATGACTTTGGTTTATGCTCGTGAAACAAAGCTTATATAACACCTCATGAATTAATGTAAAATATTTGTCCCTTTCCCCGTAGGTAAGCACAATTGAGAATACACAAGACCATAAATCAGATCTGAAAATCTCTGGCGTTGGCTTCCTCGTGAGGTTCTCGGAGAAGGGCAAATCAGAGATCGAGCTGGATTATGACAGCAACACGGGACTTCTCACGAGTCGAGCAGATTCTAGAGGCGGAGGTGTAAGTGATAGTCTGAATTTTTATGTTGAATTAGCTCTAATCCATGAAATTTGATCCTGTGCATCAAACAGATTTCTCTTTTTGGGTAGGGTGGTGAAACGTACATGTACCGGTATGGTGAGGCTGGTCGCTTGGAGTCCATTATTCTCCCAACAGGAGAAACACTAGATCTTGCTTCTTACCTCACAACAGATGACAGTCTCGCTGTTCAAGTGTCATCGCCTGTACAGTCTTTGTCTGTCCCAGTGTCTGAGCTGCCACCTCTCACAACTCTAAGAATGGAGGGTCGTGGGGCTCACAGACTCACCATTAGGGAAGGTTTGTGTTATCTGTATTTTGTAATTAATTTAAGTTCAAACAATACGACAAAAAGTATGGTTTACCCATTTCACTAGTTCTATAAATAAGATTGTCTCATTTAACACTTCACTTCACCTTATTCAGTGGAATGTAACAAAATTGGATGTCCGCTGCTGTGCTTAATGTTCCGAGTAAGGTCTGAGAGTACCAGGATGGAATAAGATGGTTGTCTTCTAGGTTGTAGTGCCACGTAGTCTGGTAAACGTTGGTAAGACTACGTGACACTACGACCTAGAAGACAGACATTTTCAGTCTCACTGCCATGAAAACCTCAAATCTTAATTAGGATGGAATAAATTTATATGGCATAGCATTAAGTTTTTGATTTGCATTAAGTACACTTATTATGTCGTCATACTCTTCACCAAATTTTATATGTCATTTCAGATTCTGCCGTAAGCGAGGCTTGTAGTTTCCGGAATGGCTCATTCGCTGTTCACTGGTCATGGGGTGGACATCTGCAGAGCCAGGCCGTGGCACGGCACCCACTGCTGGAGCTGAGCTTGCCTGTCGAGGCAGAAATGCTACCGATGTGGAGCGAACAGATCCTCACACTTGGTGATGGCCTCAGCAACCACATGCATTGGACCTACAGTCTGATCGGGGATGTTCGAGCTTCGGAACAAACGCTGCACAGGGAGCTTTGGGTCAGCAATAGTTTACGAAACAGTTTTATTGTGCTCTCATGAGCTGGACCTAGAATCTGTACCCTTAAACCCCTCTTCTCTAAGTACGTGCCCTTCAAGGGTAGTATTGTTTCTCATTACAGGTGAATCAGACACGTGTTCTTGGAGTAGAATTTGACCAGGCTAGCGGACGTGAGACGTTCTATGACCGAGAACGTCAGCCGCTGCTCACTGTAACTTTTAATCCCGCTGGTCTCCCTCAGTCCTGGGTTCCTGCTAATGGTGGTCAGCCTGTTAATGTTACGTATGACAGGTAGGGAAATTATGTCCTAAGTAACTTCAGTATTTTGAAATAAGTTGTAGTATTGTTTTAACGCAGTACGTTTATTTTCTTGTAACACACTTGAAGTACGTACATCAGCTTATTTTATGGAGAAAGTACATCCTGTTTCCTTATGTACAAAGTTTCTAAAATTAAATTAAATTAACAGAAGGGAAAGGAGTGTGTGTGTGACATTTTTGCAAGTCGGTTCATGCTGCGAAATGTGGGTTCAGGTTTAGCCGTGTGGATGGCTGGCATTGGGGTCCTCAGAGTGAGAGATACAGCTACGAGAGTCATGGATTGTTGTCTGAGATCAGCTCACCTCAAGATGGCACCACCCAGTTCACATATAATGAACTCAATATGGTATGGATAAGTACGGTTGCAGTATTTTGAATTCAAGTAATACTCAGAGAATGTTTTGGAAAATGAACACACATGCAGTAAGATGCAAGAAATAATCTTAAGAACAGCTGTTTTGCTATTGAACTAAAATATTTCACTTACCATTGGTAGTATATTCTCAGTTATTGATCGGTTTTTATGAAACGTTGGATAGTCCGCAGCTGTGTTTATATAGAAGTTTCATGTATCATTAAACAAAAATATTTGATTCATACCACAGGTACTTTATTTTCATATAGATCAGCCTCTTGAACAAGATTCTAGTTTTTCTTTAATAAACCATACAAAGTAAGTGCATTTTAGTGAAGGCAGAAATTGTGTCCCTCCTCTAAACAGCTGCGTGTTGCTCATTAATGGTTTCAGCTGTCCCACATTACTCTGCCCAGTGGACGTCGATTTGGACTTCTGTACGATGAAGATGGTGGCTTACGTCATGTGACTCTTCCGAGCAACACGAGGCACTCATTCTCATGCCAGCCATCTCTTGGTTTCCTACGCGTCACCTATACTCCACCAGGCTCAATACGCGCATACATTCAGCATTATACCCACTCAGGTTCTCTTCTGCAGACAGTCTTTCCTGTAGATGGAGCTAGGGTTTTATACCGCTACCATCCTTCAGGCCAGCTTGCAGAGGTAAATATACAGAAATGTTTCATCTACATGTACTTTTATCTTTTACATTTTATTATCCATCCAGTGCAGCTTACACATGATTTGACCTGCCGTGAATTGCTCTAGCGTACGTATAATCCAGGAGTCAAAAGTCCAGTCAACGGCCCAGTAGTTCGGGATTTTAAATCCCCTATTACCATATGATAAGGTGAATCAATTTTTCCCATTTTGTTACTGTTACATGCTTTATTATAATCATTCTTATTGTTCCTAAGTAAGTGTCTTTGGTGTAGAAACACAGAATACACACTTAATTTTCAGTCTGGTCAACTAATGGAATTAAAAATAGTCTGAGGAAGAGACAGAGCCAGTCACGGTCAGGGGCCATGTTTGCTCAAACACTGAGTCATGGATATAAATCCCACTCAAGGCATCAATGTTTGTCTGTGTAGGTAGAGAGACCTTGAGATGGGCTGATCACTTATCCAAGGATCCCTAACAAATGTCTAAATATCGTAAGGAACCTCTCGTGTGTGAGGCGGCCAAGGTCCTTCAAGGACTGTAGAGTCATGGAATAAGTAAGCAGGAGGAAGCGACGGAATTTTGTTATTATGAACTTGCTTTAATCACGCTGTTCTACTCGCAGGTTCTCCATGGAGATGGACGCAGTCAGATAAATTACTCCCCTCTGACAGGTTTTCCTAGTGAAGTGCTCCATTCGGAGCGAGAATTTGAGTATCGGTGGGATTACCAGTATGTGGCAGGCTTGCTAATGGAGGAGAGGCTGGACTTTGGAGCTAAGACAGGATTGAGCAACGCCAAGTTCACATATGAATATGACAGCAATTTCCGTCTGACCGGGGTTCAGGGAAGGATTGGTGGACAGAACCTTCCGGAACATGCCTTGGGCTATAACGTACGCACGGGAGCCATGGAACAGTTGGGCCAGTTTAAGGTACATCACTGTCAGTAACACATGAAGTTAAAAGGATTCAGTGTACTTAACAAAATTAAATGTGTTACATCTCGGTTTTTCATCGGTGGAAACGGGGCTAAACTTGTCGCTGTGGGTATGATTCGGTCCAAAGCTAATCTTTCTCAAGATTATTTACGTGGTGTCACTCTAGGTTAGTGGTAGGAAAACTATAAATTATAGGCTGAATGTTTAACTCGTAATGAATTTGGTTATGATTACAGGAATTCATCAAATTAATGAATTCAAGGATATTCAGTAAATGTTTTCCATTTATTAATACGGACTGGGTTCACACTGAGACCACACACACTAATTATTAAAGACCCGAGTTTGACTTGCTTGCACAATATTTTCACAATTTTGCTTTACGTTCTGAGTTATAGCGTACTCATTAACTGCGGAGTGCTGAATTTTTATATTACTTCAGAATACATATTGTATCTCAGTGCGTCTGTGCATTAAGAGAGTTAAGGTATTTATGCTTTTGTGTACACTCTACTTTCATCTATCTGCAGTTTTCTTTCTATATCTACCTAAGATTCATATACAGAGTATTTATGGTACTCATAATGTAATATAAGAAGTACCACTTGGCTGAACGTTGGCGTAAATTGTTTCAGGTATCACAGCCTCGACCTAATGAAACCACTGTATTTGATGGTACAGCCATTTTCTCAAGATGGAACAATGCTCAATATCAGGAAACTCAAGTTGCTGTCACAATTCATCGAATGGAAGTTTTCCGTATGGAGTTCACCTATGATTCTCGAAGGTTTTACCTTTTATACTTTCTCATATGAAAAGATTAAGAGACCCAATTTTTGTTGTCTTCAAATAGTAGATGGTTGACGTAATAATATACTGTTATTGTAAATCTTTGGAATTTATATTTTAAAGTTCCTTAAGGCTAAAATATGAGGATTGATAATCTTCTTGGGGTTACAGGTTACAGATTTAACATGTTCAGAACCTGGAAGTGTGTGAAGAAGGAAATTAGCCTTAATGAGCTATGACTGTAAATCCTTGTTTCTTCTGTAACAGAGAAATATTCTCAGTTCATTTTAATAACATAATAAGAGGTATTACAGTGAACACAAAGATGATTTTATCAGCACAGCAGACATCAGATATTATTATTTGTTCCCTGGAGTAGTTACGCTTTTTTAATTTATTCTGCTGCAGTCGCATCAGCCAGACACGGACCTACACTCGAAATGTGGGTGTGAACACTTACACAAACGTGAAGAATTACACATGGGACTCTGACGGACAACTATCAGGAGTGGAAGCGCAGGAGCCGTGGGGTTTTCGCTACGATGCCAATGGGAACATGCTCTCCCTTACGTACAGGTATGTGTTACTTTAATAAATTATTAAAAAGTCACTCACTAAGTTTTAAAATCATATTATTAAAAACGTGTAGTGTCTGAAATGGTCAATATACATAAGAATTTATGTTTTCAGGGGTAACACAATACCAATGGAATACAATGTGATGGACCGCATTGTAAAATTTGGGGAAGGCCTATATCGCTATGACAACCGTGGTCTTGTGGTTCAGAATGCTAGAGAAGAACGCTTCCACTACAATGCCAAAGGCCTATTGGTAACTGATTTTTTTTAAGTAATAGAATGTAAGGTATATTGAATGCAACACACAACTGTTAAATAATATTTACATGTAACCTATTTTAAAAGAAGCTGTATCTCTTTCGTTTTAGATAAAGTTTGTCGAAACGTTTGTAATAATCTTTTCCATTAAAGATCCACCTTTCTTTGTAATTGGATGGTGACGTCAGTATGGCTGTCTTGATGCGTATTCGTCTGTTAATTACAGAACCCTGGAGCTCATCAGAGTCACCTTAAATCAGATATGCTAATGTGATTTATTTACCTGATTTCTTTTCAAGGTACGTGCTACCAAGCGCGGCAGATTTGATGTGCGCTACTATTATGATCACCTAGACCGACTCGCAACTCGCAAAGACAACTACGGAAACGTGACGCAGTTCTTCTATACAAACCATAAGCGACCAAATGAGGTACGGGCCTAATATTGTTGCAGCGAGTACAGTTTATGTGTAACAAGTTAGGAAATAATAATTATGACATGTTCAGTCCCTTATAATAAATAATGTTAATCATTTTTGATTCTTTTTACCATGATGTAAACAGCATCTGCTGGAACATTGAGATGCATTATGCATAATTTGGACGTAGGTTAGTGAACTGTGTGTATAAGCACCATCTGTTAGCTGTCAAGCCTAACTAATGAATCAGATGACAGGGTGCATTCCATTCTTTTAGTTTGTCCTCTGTGTTTAGGTGAGCCAAATATACAGCCCGCGTGATGGGAAGCTGATGTCACTGGTGTACGATGATCGTGGGTACCTCATTTTTGCTCAAGTATATCGGCACAAGTACTATGTGGCCACAGATCAGTGTGGCACTCCAGTCATGGTATTTAATCAATATGGAGAAGGAATCCGCGAAATCATGAGGTCACCGTATGGACACATCGTCTACGATTCCAACCCTTACCTGTACTTGCCAGTTGATTTTTGTGGAGGACTTCTAGATCAGGTTTGTGTTGTCGAATGAAAATATTGTTGCAGTGTTTGACCGCAAAAATTTACCTTTCTATGCTTTTATAAAATACTGTATGTACATGTTAGTTCTCAAAGTAACTGGATGCGTGTTTATGAAACTTCATCAGAGATTATTTTTTGTTTCAGTTGAAGAATCAAAGTAATATTTTACCACTGGCACTTCTGAACACATTGGAGAAATCATACTTAATATCACGACACAGCGATTAATTCGAAGAACTTGTTTCAGTTGAAGCAGCCATGTGTCATGTTATATGTGGTCAAGCTGGCCATATATTGAACTAATATACTGCTAAAACTTTTACCCTGGAGTTTAAGTCAGGCCGTCAGCCCTGTAGTACGGCGATTTACATCATATATTCCCATATGATGAAGGATAAAAATGTTTTTTTTTTTGGTTTTATACGCTTTTTCATAGATGCAAATAAAACTGTAAATTTTGTTTGGCAGGTAACTTCATTGGTGCACATGCCAAGCGGAAAAGTTTATGATCCTCTGATTGGCCAGTGGATGTCTCCAATATGGGAGGGAATTCTGGACAGAGTTTCCAATCCAGTACAACTTCACCTGTATCGGTTCAATGGCAATGATCCAATAAACGTACAGCGCAATCCTCAGCATCTTACAGGTATGCCAACAGATACATTTGTATCATAAAACAGCCGTGAATCCATGTTATATCGTATGTCACAAAGCAGCTATAAAGATAAACTGTGGATGCACATGCATTTCTCTTTTATATTTAATAAATCTTATTGTAAAATTAATGATGTGGTATTAATAATTCAGTATTAATAACTGAATAAATTATTATTGCTTATGAAATTTGAGGTTTTTGTTGGTGTTTTGGATTGTGGCATGGTATAGTCTTGCGTTTGGTTATGAAAACAACATACTGCCTCCATCTTCAGGGAAGAAGTTGGAAACAGCGTCTTCCTCCAAATTATTGTTATTGAATCCCCGAAGACCACGTTATGTATGATTGCATGGGTTCTGCATTTTTCGCCATGCATGTGTGCTATGCTTTGGCGGCTATTATAGTTTCACATTTCAGTTCACACGCCATATTGATAATTCATACCCAAACTGTGGCAATGATGGAAATGATATATCAAAATGAGTTCAGTTAATTTGTGTGGAAATCCACAACACTGAATGCACAGTTTTTCATATTATATTTCTGTTGCATAATCTGAATGCACATTAGATTACAAGTGCACGTGTATGGAAGTTTCTGTTGCATAATCTGAATGCACATTACATTACAAGTGCACGTGTATGGAAGTAGAATTGTGTGTGTTTACGTTGGCCATGTACTTGATTTTATAGCAACGGTACTTGAAATGGACATTTCAAGATGAGGCTGTAGAAGAAAATTGAAGCAACAAATATGTATTTAGCATGCAGTCGTCAATTTTGTTAAAGCATGATTTGTGTCCAAGTGTATTAAGCCCGTTCCCTGGATGAAAGAAAGAAAAAAGAAGAGGTACAGGCGTGTTTGTGTAAGTTTCTTATTTCAAGTTACGTTTTTACGCATGACAGTAGTAATGAGTCGCACGGAGCTTATAAAAATTAACTTGTGGAGATGAGCAAACTTGTTAAATACAAGGGCCTTCTGTGGTACTTGTCTGTTTATATTTTTAAAATGTTAGATCAAGCAGTATGATCATTAAATGATTCACTTCATTCATCGAATATTCATTAATATCTTGGTGAATGCTATTCGAGGTAAGTATCAAGTTTGTCCATCCCCAGTACATTGCTTTTCATTGTACTTACTGAGCATGTTTTTGTTTTTTTTCAAAGTGGTTTATCTCCTTTAAATGTAAAATCCCGCATGCAGTTATTACCAGACTAATCTTCATTGTTGGTTTATCTCCAGATCACCAGAGCTGGCTCACTCTGTTGGGATACGATTTGGAAAACCTAGCACCACAGCTGTATCCAGATAGGTTTCCAAGCGGAGGCTTGCCTCTCTCTCCACCTGGGCTTTGGGGTTCAAAGGAAGAGATGCCGTACGTTATGTCATCGCGTTCATCTGTCCAGCTCCGTCAAGACTCTTCTTCAGTATTTGGTGTTGCATCTGGTTTCTTGGCTCATCTTGCTGAACGCCGCCCCGGAGATGCATCCACTCTCTCATCACCACCGCGCTCAGCAGTTAAGAAAGACACTTGGCCCCCTGAGGATTTTCCAGCAACAAACCCCGCATCTCTGTTTCAGTTCAGACGATTGGGAGCTGCGTGCGATCCACCGTTTGGCAGAGGGATTCTGGTGTCACGAACACCTGAGGGCAGGGCAGTCATCAGCAGTGTTCCCGCAGCAAATGCTATCTACCGTGACGTCTTCACTTCTGTATTTAATCAGTCATACCTCTTGCCGTTCACTTTCTTTCACAATGCACATCAAGATGTCTTCTTCTTTGTCAAAGAGGATTCTTGGCGAGCTTCTGAAGATCGAGGTCAGTTGAAACGTTTAGGTGGGCAGGTTAATACAACATTTCATGAGAAAGAAGCAGCTTCAGGAGAAACACCAGCTGGGACGGGAGGAGGAAAAGTGGCAGACTTGAAACTGCACGGGGCAGGAGCTGTGGTAAATCTTCGGTATGGAACCACACCTGAACGTGAAAAACAAAGGTTGTTACATCATGCCAAAATAATTGCTGTTCGAAAAGCCTGGCATAGAGAGAAGGAAGCTTTGAGGAATGGATTTGCTGGCTCTGTTGACTGGTCAGCAACAGAAATGGATGAGATTCTGAAGGTTGGTTTTGCCTCATCTTATGATGGTGAATATGTCCATGATGTTAGGAGGTACCCAGAGCTAGCAGAGGACCCGTTCAATATCCGCTTTGTCAAAAAAACGACAGTTTCTGCTACAACGCAAGATTCAGCTAGCAGACGCAGGAGGAGAAAGAGAGAAAGCAAATCAGATGGCCAGGACAACAAAACAGAACTTACTTCCTTCTCAGATGAAACTCGTCAATTTTCTCAGTTCTTCCAACATACCATGAAAGACACGTCAGCATCATCACCGAATTCTGCCAGTGACAAGAAGAATATACCTTCAATGGAGTTTCCAGTCATTGTTCACTCAAAAAGACGAACATGTCACAGTAATAAACACTGGTGGCTACCGTGGACACACAGTAGTCCATCATGCTAAAAGATAATAAACCGGCACTAGTACAGAATGTTTCCACCAAAGACTTATTTCTCTTGTGAGCTTTGGCAACTGGAAAAATATTGTACTGTTCCAGCTGTTCTAATATGCACATCAGCAGATGAGACTTTCCAAGGAAGTGTGAGAAATAAAAATTCAAAATGTTCAAATACAATCTGTGAATTTCTTGATAAATCATTTGAACTTTTGATGAAGACTGAATATCATAGGGAACGTAAAATATTTGAAAACCAAATGAAACTTGAATAACTTTTAACGAACCAGAAATTAATTTTAAAAACGAATAACTCAGAAAAGGTTTTTTTAAAGAATGAGTTAAGAAATAAAAGTGTGCCAAGAATTGCACTATCTATCAAGTATTGAACCATCAAAGATGAATTAATTATAAAAATGTAAAACATCTTGTGTCTGACATCTATGGGTCTTCTATAAGAAGTGAAGTCTTAAATTTGGGGTTCTTGGGTCACTGGTAGTAGAAAGGGCTGCTGTATATTTTATATAAATCTTTCATGACTTACCAGAATTCAGTCATTATGTGTGATGATCGGATGTTGGTAGCCTGAAGGAGTTATAACGAGGAACAAGTAGCTGTTGACACTCTTGTAGGCAGACTGTGAAAATGTTACATTTGTCATAAGATTTTTGCCAGTCTGTCATAATTACCTCTTTCAAAAACATTTTGTTTGTAACTAACCCATTTTTATGATAATTAATATTTGGGACCTGGTGTGCTTGAGATAAATTAATTTCCAAGGTATATTTTTTACGAGAAATTGGTATTTCAAGGTCACCAAGAGCTGTTGTTGCAGAAACACAAATTGGATGGAAGAAATTTATGGTCAGCATTTTTGAAAGAGGTATTATTCGAAGATGCCAAAGAGGAAATGTGAAACTACCACAAATTTATTTTAAAGTTTGTGTGCCAAATTTGAAGCACACACACAAGGGAGAACAGGAAGAGTTTGCATTCAAGAGAGAGAGAGAGAGAGTGTTGTAAATATATTTATATTAATATTTAATATTGCTGACAGCTGGGCTTTAATGCGAAGAAGTGACCATGTTGTGGTCTGTGCTATGTTGGAAGAATATAAGGTGTGTTATTTTTGTGTTTCCTTTAAATGTTTCACACTACCCAGAGGGAAATGTCCAAAGGGAACGGAATTTTGTGGCTGGTTTAATCATAAATATTCTGTGTCGATAATTATATTTATATATTTTTATTATAACAGACATAGAACAGTGTTTAAGGAAGTATTAATGGGTCTGTCACTTATTGATATATGGTTTGTTTTTAATGTTGTGTTCAATTATGAAGTAAAACAAAACTGGAAAAAAGATATGTTCTTGTCTGATTAACGCTCGGTGAAAGCGTATTGTCATTGATTAACAAAACAATGCCTAAGTTGTGTGTGTGTTCTAGTATATTTCCTTGGGAATGGTATTGTAAAAAAAAACCTTAAACTATTTTTAAACAATGCCAATTAAGGAGGGAATGAGAGCAGGTCACTGTGTAAGTCCAAATTGTACGCACGTGTACAAATGTTGAAAATAGACATGGGTCATCATCCCCTTGCCTGAAAGAGATGTAACTGGGGTAATTGCTTCAGTTCGCAAGCTTCGGTTATGAACCTTACAGATGTTCTCTTTACCGACGGTATGTCATGTTCATACATTAATTACCTTTAAACCTTTGCATTGCCTGTTTTCTGTTAATAAATGGCTGCTTGGTACAGATATTGTATTTATGTATAAAAAAGTATATTACTGCAAGTTTGAGAGGGCACTGAAGTATTTAGCTTTTGTGGATTATTTAATTACGCACTATTCAATGGCCTTTGGAAAGACAGCGAAATTTAATCGATTAGTGTATGATTTACCTCTAAAGTAAGTACGGTGAAATACGCAAAAGTCCAATATTCTACACTGTTCCTAAATGGTTAGCATAAAACTGTCTACGGAATTTCAATACTTCAAGATGTTCAGCGCAGTCAGACAGTTCTGGACTTCTCTTAACAAGTATATTTAATACTGCAGCTAATTAAACAGTTTTTATCCTTGGCAGCATATATATAATTACCCAAATTATTTGAAGTTAACAAAGTAACTACAATCCTAAGAGCAAGCTCTATGGTGTCGAAAGATAATTTGCAGTATCACTGCGTTTCAGAAGCGACGTTTAAAGTGTTGTAATAACTTTGACCGTAAGAATTTGTTTGAAATTCCAGTTTCCCACAACAGGTCATATTGATGATATTGGTGCATCCATTTGATAATTTTATTATTAGACAAAGTATTGTGTTTTAAGGCCTTTTCATTTTCTCTATTGAAAAATTTATATTTCACTAAAGAAAGATGATTTATGGTACACAGTTTTTGTTAGTCTAAATACCAGTAATTCTATACGTAGACTTAAAAATTAACTATGAAATGTGATTTTCTTCATTGACATAGTAAAATTGATCCATACTGAGATAAGTTTTTATATTTCTGAGAATACCAAAATAATCGCTTTAAAATTAATACAAGTAGAGAAATAACAACAAATTTAAAATATATGTTCAGTGCCTTCGTGTCTGTCCATACTATGGGGCTGATGGCAAGACATAAAATCCAAGTTTAAGGGTTCAGGAGTATGCCAACATAATACATAGTCAACTGCACTACACATTATGTTGTTGATAAAGGTTAACCCTTTCCATGCTAGTTCATTCTTAAAGAAACTTCTTTTTGTTAGTATATTTTTTTATGGCAATGTAAATCGTGTTGTAAGATTTGAGGTTAAGTTATGTTGTTGAAAATCCACAAATTGGTAATGCTGCCAGGTTATGGTGTGATATGTTTCTTTAACTGATCTTTTGAGACACCAAGTTTTTTTTTTCAGACCAGAAGGAAACGTATTCATAACATGGAAAGGTTAATAATACCAACATCAGATTGTTTTTCAGTGGCTAGCATTTTGTTTTATTTGCAATATTGATGAGCATACATAAAAATTTTCATTCGTGTCCATCCCGACAGAATGCACCGAAAGCCTTTCAGTGGGAAGCTGGAACAAGGCTTGTCATTTTAATGTTTGTATGTCATTAAACATTTTGTTGGTATTCACCTCTTTGTTGGTTTGTATATTCCTCTTACTGCTGGAGTCAAAATAAGTTGAATAGCAAAATGCAGACAGGGTACAGAGCATGGCCAGAACTGGCTCAGACACAGGATGGAATCTAATGCTCATATGGTATATATGTATGTGTGGATTTGCATGAATGTATGAACAGATATGTAAGTGTATGTACTGTGTTAATAACTGTTTTCACCTGAAAATATTTAAATATTGTTTTTATTATGTTTAAAAAAAATAGCAGGCTTATTTCCTTATATCCGTTGCTTTAATCACATCGGCACTCTGATAAACCTGCCTCGACTGTTACGCTGAGCGGTGGATCCTTTCTGTGCTGTAGTTTTATATTCTTCTCCCAATATTTCGAGAGAATTTTGTATTTATGTGACTAAGAGTGTGTTATGGGCAATGAACAAAATACATTCTCTCTGAAAAATTCAGTGTGATGAAAACTGATTACATTATCTTTTATCCAAATAATCTGTGCTTGAGTTCTAAATAATCCCAGACAACCTAACTTCACTCTGGAGGAAAAAAATAATGTTTCCTTTTTAGGACAGAAAGATGTTCACTGATGCTTTGTCCGTTCCCCTGAACAGAATCAGTTTGTCAATAAACAATATAATTCCTGAGTCTGGAAAATTTTCATCACATGACATGTGACAAAGAGCTGAAAAATAAATGACACTTCACATTAAAATTATTTTAACTGTTTTCTGTAAATTGTAATTTTATGTAAGTAAAATAATTATTGTTTTTGAATTGCAACTTTTCTGTATTGTATATTATGCAAGAAAATATGTTAAGTTGTTTAACTGACACTAATTACTGAAAATAACATAATCTTTGTACTTTGTTCATTAACTGTGACACAGCTTTATAAAATATAAATGAAATAATTGTAATTCATTTTCATAAAATGATGTTCAGTCATACAGAATCAAGAGCCCAGTCACTGTAAGCAAATTCACATAGTCGTAAGAGCTTAAATTGGTAAAGAGCCACAACATTGTGAATGGATTTTGTACTGAGATTAAAGACTGCTGAAGTCAATATCACTGAAAATACTTGTTTCAACTTTTGATATGATATTCTAGTGCATACATGCTTCCTGTATTTGATGATGTTTAAACATCGTTACTAATTTCAGGACTTACACTGCCGTTATTTCATCACATTTAAATGCTACAGTTCCCTGACATTAATGAACGCCGAGCAAAAAAAAATGATTTTCCGTGATGGTTTAAAACTTGGTGCAGACTGCCAGACGATTTTCTCCTACTGTTTCTGAAAGAGATGTTTTTCAAAGCACAAATCCTTACGAAGTGCCACAGAATTCTCCTCTCATGAGCACCGCGAGCTACAACTTCTGTCAGGTTTATCACTTCATTGATTTTGGAGTTGTCAGTTGTTCTGAATTTTGTTTGTGATGTAGAATTTATTCGGTGAATGTAGGAATTATGTTATCATCAATACAAAGGCTGATGAATTGGGTGATAGTAGTTATCTAGTTGTTTATTGATGCTTCTGTTTTCATCAAATTGATCATCTCGTGTACCATCCACTTGCTTTGAGTCAGTGTTTTTATAAGTTTCAGAATCATCCTCATCAGATTTCTTTTGTGTATCTGTACTCGTATATGCCGAAGCTTATGAGCTGTTGTATTAGTGAGCATTCATCTTGGAGCAGACCAAAGTGAATATGACTTTACGTTTATTCTGTAGACCTCGTCAAAGTCATTTTTTGAAGAATTATGTATTTGTAAGCTGATCTTTCTTCACTTTGAAGTTAAAGCTGGTCTTCATTGGGTATGGTGCAACAGAGTGAGTTTGTGGGGCATGCAGTATGTTAGTTAACTCTCGTTAGTTGTGTGAAGTCCATCTAGTTATGCATTACAGTAGCGTACCACTAAACTACTACATCTCGGAGTTACAAGTCTGGCAGTCAGCCTTGGACCGACTGGATACGAAACCCAGAAGGTGTGATGTCCAATCATAAGACCTCTGCCTTATCATAATTAAATATTGGTCATAATGTATAAAGCATTCAAAGGCTCATTAGTGCTTCTGTAGTAGATTTATTCATAAAAGTAACAAATATTAAGAAAGGAAAGTGTTCTCCGTTGGATTTCCAATTTTTTTTTTTTTTTTTTCAGTTCTGCGTACCTAATTGCCTTTCAAGTTTAATTTTTGCACACACAAATCCAGTAACATCTCACATGAAGCTTATTTATTTATTTCTGCACAGTGATATTCTGCTGTCTGCATAACGTGGCTGACTCGAAGTCACATCATGATCTGCCATTTTGATAGGCTACTGGATTAAAATGCTTACAAATTAAGTTTTGATTTAAACATACATTGACAGTTAAGATATTTTTAAAGATCACAAATGTAATAAAAATAATTATTTTCCCAATACAGTTCCCAGAGAATCTGGACATTTATTTCACAAAATAAATATTAGGTTTCCAATTGATTGTTTTCTTGTCATTATGGCGTATGTATGAAGAACTCTAACTAAAGTGAAAAAATATGGTTAGGTAACAACTTGGAAAATTAATGTCAGGAAAAGAGTACAGCCTGAGCAATGGCATAGACACACAGTGGGCTTAATTAGAAAAAAGTGGTTATTCATTATAGTTACCAGTTGAGGTTTGATGGTGGTTTAAAATCTACAGTCTGCTCTATGCCATATCTGTTGGGAACAAGTAGTACTTCAGTGACTGGTGCAAACTTGGCAAAAATATTTTTAAAAAACACTGAATTTATGTATCTTCCCCATCTTTCCTGTTCATTCTGAGGTGCAGCAGGGATCCTCGGTAGTTTTGTATAATCGTGCTCTTGACTAATTTGAGGCAGTGTTTGAAATGTCATTAGTGTCTGCAGTTTCACACAGATAACAAAATTACATATTCTTCTGTAGTCCAAATGACTGAAATAGATATTTGTGGAATCTGTAAAATCCCAAAGTCCTCAGTATTAAAAGAAAAAAAATGTGTTTTAGGAATTTAGCAGCAATTCCACACTCATAGAATATTTCATGATTTATCGTTAAGGATATTTAAGAACAGACTCCCAAACTCCTATTTGCCAGAGCTGTGTAAGATACTGCCGTTGAATTAATTCCTAAAATGTGAAACAGTGAATGATGTATATGACTGTATCGTATGAACTACATATTTTCTAAAAGTGTTCTTTTTTCAGTGGTTGTATATAAGAAAAAGGAAACTGAATGTTTGCTTTATTGATAAATCTGTTTCCTAATTCCATTCCCTTGCTGAACCCTAACAGAGGAGCCATTATCATACTGCTAATATTAACATCATCAAAGAAGAAGCCTTGAAATTTATGTGCCATTGTTGTTTAAATATTGTCTATTCATCGAAATAATTATTTTCAACTCTAGTCAACAGAATTTGGACTCTATAACATGAATATTTAAAACTTTCAAATGGTATTGAAGAAGAATGAAGATATGACATAAATTTTTCTAAGTGGAAGCAATGGCGTCTTGAAGAACAGTGTTTTGTCCATATGGCATCATTCATATTATAAGTGGTGTTTCAGAAAAATTAATAAATGCAAAATTTGTTTTATAAACTTGCTGTATATTTAGTCTTTTTTTTTCTTTATTCATGAAAGTCCTTGCCTAATGAAGTCATGACTGACATCTGAAATATTTTAAGTTTCTAAACTGATTTGAATATCCGTTGTGTATATTCAGTTTATAATGTATAATCCATGCTGACAAGTATTTAATTTAGACATATGAGAAGTTAATATTATTATTGCTAGCAAAGGCACTATTACCTTAAACAAACAACAGCTGTTTGTTTCCACAGCAAAGGAAAATTTTTCTGAGTTAAGCTAAGGTTGAAAATTAATCTTGGTGCAGATGTAAAACTAGTATAACCCTTAATAATAAAGCCAGGGATGTCATTAAATCCTATAGATTTTTATACCTTCAATCTTGCAAGGGCTTTGTAAAGTAAAGTTTGTCCCACTATACGCCATCTAGGCGTTTGGGGTGAGTGGAGGTATAGCTCCTCTCTTCCTTGACCTCGGCACTGGATGGGGGTGAGTGGTCAGCATCACGCCCCGGCCGGCTTTACCCCCGGGAAAGGACCCCGGTACCCATTGGATAGGAGGCTGGGTGGGCCCCAGAGCCGGTCTGGACGCAGAGGCTAGAGGAAAAATCCTCTGCCTCCGTCGGGGATCGAACCCCGGCCGTCCAGCCCGTAGCTAGTCACTATACTGACTGAGCTATCCCGGCTCATGCAAGGGCTTTGTAGATACCTAAATAAAAAATAGGTGCTAAATTTAAAAAAAAAAGGTCTGTATTAAAGAGGGAAATACCTTAGGTAAAATTATCATGGTGACTTGATAAGTTGTGGTTAGATGAGTCCCATCAACTTCAAGCTTAATTGTGTTTGTTTGT